AGTGACTAAATTGTTAAAAACTGCCATTTTTACACGACCAACAGGCAAATAAATGTATGTATGTGTTTACCTTCCAATGATGAATTACCAAACCAAAGCAACCTTATCTGCAACGTGGAAACAGTGTTGAAGGATAGTCAGACATCTGTTAGTTCACAAGATAGTTCTGCTTCTGTAAAGCTCCTAGCTCATATGTTTTTGACCTTAAATGAAATGTTTTAAATCTTTGTCCATTAGGATAATTGAAAACTCTGGCATATTTTGTGAACACAGGAGATGTCCAGGGCTAGCAACAGTATTAGGGTTAGACTTTGTGTCTGGGTTTATACATCTTGCTTTTCCTGAACTGACTGTAGATTGCAGTGCCCTCAGAATATCATAGCTACCAAAAACCCAGCATAGGATATTGTACATAAGATTGGTTTTAATGAGGTGGGAACGTTTGAGTGTGTCGGAGCAGTACCAAAAGAGGCTAGAGTCTCTGTTGAAAGTCTAGACTCCTGCCAAGGTCACCCTTGGAATGATCAAAGCTGAGATGCCAGACCTTTCAGAGACAACAAGAGTAACACTCAAGCTCACTCTTGTTAGCTCAGAAGGCTGTGATGGTAGATCATTTCTGAATATGCTTACCTCAACTACCCTATGCGGAGTCAAAATAAGAGATGTAGTGGAGTTTCAAGTTGGATAGGACTTAAAAGTTAGATGGCACTCAGTCAACCAATAGGGAACAGCAAAGATTGGGTACAAATAACACTGTCACTAATGAAGCAACTGGAATTAAGGCAAAAGGGTGTTTAGTTTCCAATGTACACAAAGACGAAATCCAAGATAGTTTAAAAAAATGTTAGAGGAGGATTAAGTGGCTCAAGCACTGAAAGATATTGTTTATTCTTGTGGCAACTTATGGCAACTCTGTGAATGATTAACCTGTAAAAAGACTTATAACTGAAGAAATCTGCATCTTCCGTTACCGGGTCAATTCACGTTCAACCCTCTTTTTTCCCTCTCCCTTCAACTTGGTTTTTCCCCCATCAGGAGGCGATCTCTGCACAGGCGAGGCTTGCCTTTCGGTTCACGCCTTAATAGTGAGTCAGACGTTCCGCAGGCCGTCATTTCCTAGAAATATGAGATAACGAGAGGAGGGGGTTGAATGGGCGGGGTAACGGCGCGATCGGGATCTTACGATTGGCTGGACGGTCGGAGGAGGCGGGGCCGCGACGGCCTATATATAGGGCTGCTGTCCAACTCAACCGGACAGACGACGCGGGGAACTCTTTGGTGTCGTTTTGTTTCAGCTCGTGGCTTTCGTTGCGGGATGCTGGCTGCCTGACTACGCCTGTGCCGCCAGCGCTGCGCCCGGGACGCGAATGAAGAAGCTGCTTCTCCTGCTCTTCAACTATCGGGGACTCACGCGAGGCGGGGGACGCAAAGGGAAGCGCCGTCGAAAATGGCCTCTTTCCAGATCCGCGCCGCGCGGTCCGAGGACTGCGCCGACCTGCTGCGCCTTATAAAGGTATTCGTGCTTTGTGCCCGCCCGGCGGCGCCTTTGCCCGGGGCGCCGCACTCAGTGGGTCAAAGAACAGTCAAACCGACCCCCCACCGCCGCCGCCAAGCCCCTCTGTCCATTAGTTGAATAAAAAGAAAATCCCTGTCACTCCAGCCTCTTCTTTTTTGCCTTCAGCCGCTCGGGGTGGGGAGAACACCATGCAGTGCTTTTAGGTGGGCGGGCGAGGGTCACCTTTTTTTGGACTACAGTATGGCCATGCTGAGTGGGCCGCCTTGTGGGCGTCGTGGTCCAAAAAAAGGAACTTCTCTAAGCTCCGATGGACGAGGTAAGCAGAAGCTGAAGGGTTGGGGAAAATTTTTGAAGGTTATCTCCACGCAACCAGAAGGGACTGACTTGGTGGTTGGCCTCTTATCAGATGCCTTCGTGTGCCCTTTCATTTTTTTTAAAAGACACATTCACCAAAAATGCAAAGGTAAACAAGATGCGAGAGAGCAGACAACACTGCTCTCTTTACATGCGCCAGCGCTTGAAAAGGTTGGTGTAGCAGAGCAGGAGCAAGTGTCTGCCAGTGGGTAGCTGGAGGGGTCAGACCTTCTTTCTTACCCAGAAGGTACAATTCAGCATTGTACATCATTACTTGGGAGTAAGGACTTCTAAATAGGGTGGGGTTTACTTCTAAGTATACACATCTAAGCTTTAACTACAGTAGTTTGTTTTGTAAACTGAGGAGATAGGTGTTTCGGTTTGGTTTTTTTCATCTGTACTAAAATACTGTACTTGTCTCATCACATGGCACTAGAGGGCAAAGGTAGAAACAGTGGGAACGGTTTGTTCCACACGGAGACACTGTTTCTTCCTTCTGGGCACAGAGACACCTTTGCCCTCCTGCACTGGCAAAACATCCCCTCCCAGTTCTTGTGCAAGAGGCTGTACAGTCACTACCCTTTGCACCAAAGGACAGCTGGAAAAACAGGGTGGGGGCGGGAAATGGCTCAGCAGCTCCTCTGACCTCATTCTGTGTCGTAACACAGATGCCCTGTTTGTGAAGGGTTCAGGCCCCTTTGAGTCATAACTGTGCCCAAGTCTGGCTCCAACAGACAGACATTGAGGAGCTATTTAACTGAGAAACTTTCTGTCCTTGACCTAATTCTACATTTGTTTTATGAAAACAATTATTGTTCTTCCCATTCTTTTCATTTTTATATTTTTGAATACTTAAAGCACGTTAGACTGCAGCTCAGTTCCATGACTTGCTTTGTAAGCCAATCCCAGTGTATTCAGGAACATTCAGGAGAGATTCTATCTTGTGAGGCAGTCATATTCATATTTTCTCAGAGGTTCCATTGTATTCAATGGTGCTTCATTTGGATGAGTGTGTAGGATTGTAGCCCTAGGTTTTCCTTAGGGAATTTTGTTCAGTAACCATAATTTCTCAGTTAACAAATAGTCTACATGTTGGAGGAATTCTTTGTACACTTCCTACCTGAATTTTCACATTTCTAATTAAAGCAGCAGATAAAGTATCTGTGGGAGCAATAAATGGAACTTTTTTCTTTATACCTATGGCACAAGAAGTAGATAAACAGTCAAGTAGGTCAGTAAGAGATATCCAACATATATACTTTGTTTTGTACAGGAGCTTGCCAAATATGAAGATATGGAGGATCAAGTAGTACTGACTGAAAAAGGTAATAGTATAAATTAGCTTGTCTATCTGTTCAAATTACAAATAGAAAAATGGCATCTAGGTAATCCATTTGCTGTTGTCCTGTAGATCTGCTTGAGGATGGCTTTGGCGAACACCCCTTCTACCACTGTCTTGTTGCAGAAGTACCAAAAGAACATTGGACACCTGAAGGTGAAACTTGAACAGTTTTAAGTGTTTTTAATTGGAAAAGGACAGGATGTAATTAATAGTGTTTGAGATTGTCCATAAGACGTTCTGCATGCCTTGGCAAGGTAAAAGGTTTAGGCTTGTTGAAATATGAAAATGATGGCTTGGATCCAGACATTGTCTACCACAAACAGAAGGGCTCCTGTCTGCAGAAGATCTTTTATCCAGTGGAGTATGACAGATTGGGGAAGGAGGCAATTTTTGCCGATTTCCCCCTGCAGCCTCCTGTGCCCCCTGAAAATCTGCACCAGAGGGTTGGAGGCCTTTTGTAACTGAGAGGTGGTACTGGAGGCTGCAGGGGGAGGGGGGGATCAGCAAAAAATCACTTCCCCTGCCTTTTCTGCCTGCTAGAATATACTGCACACTGCACTTAGGGAGTGCTCCTGCTGGTGGGAGCAAATTCTGGCTCCATTCTGGTATCTGTTCTTCTGAACTGTTCAGTTATCATGAAGACATAGAGGAGCAAATGTAATAGGAAAGTAATAATGATAATACTATAATTCCATTTAGTTACGTGGCTATTCTTGTTTGACCCTAATTTTTCATTATGTAATCCTGTTGAATCACATGTTTTCTTTAATTTGTCCCCAATCTTCAGGTTACAGTCTCTAGCTTCGCCATGTACATGGCCCTTCCGTGTACATGGATGGGCGGGGAGGTAACTAAAAGATCCGTTACACAATAAAGTAGATGATCATGATGTATGAGGTAAGGTCTCCAGGGATAAATATTATTTCCAAACATATACCCTGAAAAGAAAGAGAAAAAGTGTATACAAAACACTCGGTAGATCAGAAGTCCTATATGTAACTCTGTTCCTAGGAACACATGCAAAATAGTATATGTGTATAAAATCCAATTTGAGTTTTAAGTGGAGTTGTGATATTGTATGTGATGTCATTGAGAAAGGATTGGACTACCAAGTTGCAGTGAGCAATTGATATCTGTGGAAGTGTAGAAAAGTGCTGACAATGAAACAAAGCACTTGAATACAGTTACCAATACCTTGTACAGCTGCTGGCTTACCCTGAACTGTCCCAGCTGGAAACAACGCTGCAGGCTCTCTTATAAGAGTGACTGTGTGTGAGCAAATGGACATAAATTGATTTGAAAGACAAACTGCAAGGACTTTTGCTTTTTGCTTCTTATGTTCCCATATGTAATAGGAAGCAGAGTTAAACTAATTGTTCTAAAATTCTGATCTGCCGTGTAAAATTGTAGAAATCTGAATTGTATTCCAAAGTGATATTGTTTGGTTACATACTCAGCGGTTATCAGAAGACTTTAATAGTTGTGTAATGACACTTAATACAACTCACTATATATTCCAACTGTGCAACTTCTGAGCATATGCAGGAGCAGCATTCCATTAATTCTGCCACTTGCTATGGAGCCATCTGAGAATATCTTTGTTTTGTACAAATCTCTACCCTACATGGTCTGCTGTTCCTTATGACATTTCATTTTAAAATTTCCGTACTGCAACATAACAGATTAATTTTGCATGTTCAGAAAGTTCTGACATATGCATGTAAGAGGTGGAATTTACTATTTTGTACTTGTTTAAAGATGTGTGTGTAATTAAATATAACTTTTTGTTATAGGTTATGGTATTGTAGGGTTCGCTATGTATTATTTCACGTATGATCCATGGATTGGGAAACTGCTGTATCTTGAAGACTTCTTTGTGATGAATGAATTCAGAGGTACCATTTAAGACATTGCTTAGGATTACTTCATATACTAGCTTTAAAAAATGTGACTCATACAATTGCATTTCTTTTTGTTTTAGGCTTGGGCATTGGTTCAGAAATTCTAAAGCATCTGAGTAAGGTAAATAGTTGAGTAATGCATTTATGTTATGCTGCAGGATTCTGTGTTCTAAAAGGACCAGTTAACGAAAAACAAACTAAACACAACTAGGAGTTGTAAATTACTTGTTCTAGTATTATGTAGTGTCCATGGACTGAAGTTAATTGATGAATATCTTATGGAAACAAGGTATTACCATAGCTGCAAAGAACATATTCACAATTTTACCACAACCAACATAGTTGTAACAACATGTTCACATTGTGTTATCGTAACCAACATAATTGTGGTAACACATTGAATAATGATTCTGATGAAGCAGGATTTAGATGAAACATTTTTAGGGGAAAGTCCTCACAAAGGAAGTATGAGTTGTAACTTACATATCTCAAAACATTGTAAAGTATTGAGTTCCACATAACCTATTCTAGTGAAATAATTTCCTCATAACATAGCACTTTTTCTGAGTTTGTAATTAACTTTTTCAGATACTAGACTATTCAGATACTTCATGTTCTCATGTGATAACTTTTAAAATGTAAATAGCCTTCATGTTTGGGATTATTTAGGGATCAAGAAGCAGGAAATGTACTTTGAAGTGATCATTAAAGCTTTGATTCTTGAGACAACTGGGAAATAGGAGGAACTTAATTAAAGTGATGAGTCAGTGAAGCAAAATTATTGTAGCTGAATCTGAGAGTGTCTACCTTGCAAAATAAGTCAGTATTGTATCCATGAATAAAAAGAACTACAGCTTCTGGTTTTTTATATTCTGCATGCTTTCCCCAGATGGCTGTCAAATGTCGTTGTAGCAGCATGCATTTCTTAGTGGCAGAGTGGAATGAACCTTCCATCAGGTTCTACAAGAGACGAGGAGCTTCTGACTTGTCATCTGAGGAAGGATGGAGACTCTTCAAAATAGACAAGGAGTATCTGATGAAGATGGCCACTGAAGAATGAGCTGTTCAGTCAGGCTGATAGCCAGTTACACCCAGTGACTTCTTTTTTATTGTTTTTCCCTGTCTTGCTTTTCATCTACCTTATAGTGAAATAGAATCATAGAATAATGGAGTTGGAAGCAGCCTATAAGTTTATATCAATAAATTAAGTTTATATCAACCCTAATTCAAAAGCTTTATAAATGACATAAATAAGATTGCATTCTGGAGTTCTAGGACTCCAGTCCAAAGTTGGCAACAGTGGCCGTGTCAATTTATTTGCCTATCTCCAGCCGCCTGGAAGTGCAGTTGTGATCCTAAAATGTATATTTTATATAACTTCGTTCTTGTGAGTGTCATTCAAATGTGTACAGTGTACACACTGGTAGGGTTTTTGTAAGTATTTGTGCTCTTGAGAAAATAAATGTTTTTCATGTTAGTGACAATAATTTGGTATGGTTGTCTTTCATTTAGTCACTTTCTGCTATACCTTATAAATGATGTATGTATAAAATTCCTCTTGCTTTTATTATAGCTCACCTCCTCTTTACTAACTACTGTGTACTGTCATTACCATTTTCTATTTTCTGCCTATTATTGATTTGGAAGATGCTTCTGGACTCCTGGACTAAAATGTGCCTTTGCACTAAAAATCACCAAAAAAGCCAAATAAATCTTACCAGCTTTTAAGGTGCCACAAGACTCTTGTTTTTACTGCAACAGATTAATATGGTTTATCCCTTGGAAAGAACTGGAGTGAGGAGATTCATTGTGACAGTTCCATAGAGATCAATGGGGACAGCTTGGAGGGGCTAAACTGTCCCCATGTTAACAGGTTCTTGAAGTCTAGCTGCCGAGTGAAGAGCTAATAGTAGGGGACAATGGGTATGGTAAGGTGAGAAGGGAAACAGGGACATCTCGTTCTGCTGCGTCTTGGTTATGTTGGATTGAAGTGTTCTGACCTCACTGTAGCTAGGCTGTAGGAACCAGTAGAATGAACTGGTAGCATTCACTAAAGCCTTCTGTTTTCTGCATTTTGCCCTCAATCCCCAGGCACATGATTCAGTATTCTGACCAATACACAGTATATCACAGAAGTGAGTACACCCTCTCACATTTCATAAATATTTTAGCATATCTTTTCATGTGATGACACTGAATAAATGACACTTGGCTATAATGTAAAGCAGTGAGTATACAGCTTGTATAACAGTGTAAATGTGCTATGCACTCAAAATAACACAATAGACAGCCATTAATGTATAAACCACTGGGAACAAAAGATGATGCACAAGAAAGCCTGAATACAATTTGCTGCAGACAAGCAGAGTAAGGACATGGATTCCTGCAACCTTGTCCTGTGGTCTGATGAGACCAAGATACAGTGGTGCCCCGCATAACGAGCGATTCGTTTAACGAAGAATCCACATAGCGATGTTTTTTGCGATCGCATAACGATGTTTTAGATGGTAAAACATCGCTTTGCGATGATGGGTAAGCGTTTTGCTTACTGATTATCACATAACGATGTTTTAAGAACCGCTGATAGGCGGTTCCAAAATGGCCGCTGGGTGAAGAAAATGGCCCCCGGCTGTATTTTTGCGTCCTTTCCTCGCTTACCAGGCAGTGTAAATGGCGGCTGCATGGAGGATTTCCGCAGAACTGTGAGTTTTTTGCGTTCCTATGGGCTTTTTTGCCCCGCATAGCGACGAATCCACATAGCGACGATTTTTTGGAACAGATTATCATTGCTATACGGGGCACCACTGTACACTTATTTGGTTCAGATGGTGTAAAGTGTGTGTGGCGGCAACCAGGTGAGGAGTACAAAGACAAGTCCATCATGCTTAAGAGTCAAGCGTGGTGACAGTGTTATGGTCTGTATGAGTGCTGCCAGCACTGGGGAACTACAGTTCATTGAGGAAACCATGAATGGCAACATGTACTATGACATACTGAAGCAGAACATGATCCCCTCCCTTCAGAAACTGGGCCGCAGGGCAGTATTCCAACATAATAACGACCCCAAACACACTTCCAAAATGACCACTGCCTTGCTAAAGAAGCTGAGGGTAAAGGTGATGGACTGGCCAAGCATGTCTCCAGACCGAAACCCTGTTGAGCATCTGTGGTGCATCCTGAAACGGAAGATGGAGGCGCACAAGGTCTCTTAACATCCACCAGCTCTGTGATGTCGTCATGGAGAAGTGGAAGAGGACTCCAGTGGCAACCTGTGAAGCTCTGGTGCCCAAGAGGATTAAGGCATTACTGAAAATTAATGGTGGCCACACAAAATATTGACACTGTGCCCAATTTGGACATTGTCAGTTAGGGGTGTACTCACTTTTGTTGCCAGCAGTTTAGACATTAATGGCTGTGTGTTGCGTTATTTTGAGGGGACTGCACATTTACACTGTTATGCAAGCTGTATACTCACTGCTTTACCCTGTGGCCAAGTGTCATTTATTCAGTGTTGTCACATGAAAAGATATGCTAAAATGTTTATGAAATGCGAGAGGGTGTACTCACTTCTGTGATATACTGCAAGGGTCCCCAACCCCCGGTCCGCGGTCAGTCCGTGGAGACAGACCGGCCGTGGAGACAGATCTTCCGCCCCTCCCTGCATACACTTCCCCCTGCACAGCCCCTTCACACATCTGTGTGAGTGCATGCCTGTGCTCTGTGAGCACCATCCACCCCTTCATGCACGAGTGTGTGCACATGCCGCATGAGCACCCCACCCCTTCGCACATGCGGTGAGTGCCCGCACCACCCATTCGTGCATCTGTGTTACAGACCCTCCGTGCACGGACCCCATCCCCCCCAAGAGTGTCAGAAAGATTGGGGACCACTGATACACTGTATCTGTGAAGATTCTGTCATCCAGGTGAGGTTACCTGGAAGTTGAGTCAAGGCAACTGGACTTGTTTATTGTTAGGTTGAAACATTTTGCTACTCACCCAAGTAGCTTCTTCAGTATTGTTAGATTAAAACTTAACAAGAAGTCCAGTTGCCATGACTCAACTTCCACATATTCTGACCAATCTTTCCTTTTACAGTATTTCTACATCACATCATCTAGGTCCCATGCACAATGGCTTAATCGTAGATTGCCCCTGCTGCAGAAGCTGGCTCTCAGCACTTTCCCTCTGATACATCCAGAAAAGCAAAAAGTAGGAACTAACAGTTACATAGATAGAAAACATACTGGTTGTTTTGAAGTATTTTACAGCCTTATAAAATATTAAGTTCCGATATTGGGAGCTAAAATTGAAGATTAAAACCTTCCCAAAGCAACACAGTAATAGTGGTAGGGCTGAAAAAGAGAGGTTACTTACCTGTAACTCTGGTTCTTCGAGTGGTCATTTGTGAATTCACACTAATGGGTTAATCTGCACTTGGAATATTCTAGAGCTCAAACATGCATTCGCCAGGACCGCCCTCCTAGCACACATGGTCTTGGTGATTGCCTCAGTTCCCAAACAGCCTGCCACTGTATAAAATAAACAGACGTGACAGAGGAGAGGAGAGGACAGACGGGAAGTGTGAATTCACAGATGACCACTTGAAGAACCAGAGTTACAGGTAAGTAACCTCTCTTCCTTCTTCGTGGTCTTTGTGAATGCACACTAATGGGTGACTAAGAAGCTTACCTCTCAGGAGGAGGGACATCACAGAAGTACAGAAGACAAAACAGCTCATCCAAAGGCAGCATCTGACTTGGCCCGCACATCAAATCGATAGTGTGATGCAAAGGTTGACAGAGTGGATCAAGTAGCAGCCTTACATATGACAGGTATGCCCTTAAAAGGAGGAGGAGGAAGCATCACCAAGCACTGAGGTGGCTGCTGGCCAGGCTGGTGCTGGGGGTGCCGAGAGAGAAAGAGAGCCAGAGAACCGCTTCCTGGAAGATTCGGAGGCGGCGGCAGCTGCTATTGGCAGCTTGGAGGCGCTCTTTGAGGATGGGCCAGGAGCGAGCTCCGCTCTCAGGCATTGCTGAGCGGTGGCTCGGGCACTTGGAGAAAAGGGCCAGCAGCTCGCCTCGCTCACCGGCTCTCCCTCAAGACAGTGCCTCTTGCATCTTCCATCTGAAACTGCAGTCTGCCAGCTGGCAGACAGGCAGGCTGGCTGGCAGGCAGCAGTTCCGGATGGAGGGTGCAAGAGGCGCTGTCTTGGGAGAGAGCTGGTGAGCAAGGCGAGGCTTTTTTTTACTCTTGACAGCAGAGGACACGTGGGCGCTTCAGGGGGCAGGCAAGGTGGGGGCCACAAACTATCATCCGGCGGGCCTCAAATGGCCTCCGGGCCACATGTTTGAGACCCATGGTTTAAAGTATTTTGCAGCCTTATAAAATATTAAATTCCGATATTGGGAGCTGAAATTGAAGATTAAAATGCAAGGTTGTAAGTAAGGCATATGGTGTGGACAATCCAACGCAAGATAGTTTGAAGAGAAATATGAGTTCGCCTATGTGGTAGATGCGTGGAAACAAACAGTCTCTTAGACTTGCATCACACTAATGGGTTAATCTGCACTTGTGCAGAGATCTCTAGACTATTCTAGAGCTCAAACATGCATTCGCCAGGACCGCCCTCCTAGCACACGTGGTCCACCCGTCTTGGCGATTGCCTCAGTTCCCAAACAGCCTGCCACTGTATAAAATAAACAGACGTGACAGACAGAGGAGAGGACAGACAAAAGATGACCACTTGAAGAACCAGAGTTACAGGTAAGTAACCTCTCTTCCTTCTTCGTGGTCTTTGTGAATGCACACTAATGGGTGACTAAGAAGCTTACCTCTCAGGAGGAGGGACATCACAGAAGTACAGAAGACAAAACAGCTCATCCAAAGGCAGCATCTGACTTGGCCCGCACATCAAATCGATAGTGTGATGCAAAGGTTGACAGAGTGGATCAAGTAGCAGCCTTACATATGACAGGTATGCCCTTAAGAAAAGCAGTAGAAGTAACCACTGCTCTCATGGAGTGTGCCTTAATCTCAGTAGGTAATGGCTTTTTCGCAAGGTTGTAAGTAAGGCATATGGTGTGGCCAATCCAACGCAAGATAGTTTGAAGAGAAATATGAGTTCGCCTATGTGGTAGATGCGTGGAAACAAACAGTCTCTTAGACTTGCAGAAAGGAGCCGTTCTCTTTACATAGAACACTAGGGCTCTCCTCACATCCAAGAGATGGAGGGACCACTCCAGGTCTGTCAATGGCTGCAGTAAGAAGGTAGGTAAGATGATGGGCTGATGGACGTGGAAATCAGAATCAACTTTAGGCAGAAAGGAAATATCGGGGTAGAGCATGACTTTGTCTGGGTGAAATTGCAGGAATGGGGGATCCACTGGAAGAGCTGCAAGTTTGGATGCTCTACAGTCTACAGGCTGATGTGATAGCTCATCAAATCGATAGTGTGATGCAAAGGTTGACAGAGTGGATCAAGTAGCAGCCTTACATATGACAGGTATGCCCTTAAAAGCAGTAGAAGTAACCACTGCTCTCGTGGAGTGTGCCTTAATCTCAGTAGGTAATGGCTTTTTCGAATGTGAGATAGTTTCAGGGGAAATCTGAGTTCCTCTATGTGGCAGATGCGTGGAAACAAACAGTCTCTTAGACTTGCGGAAAGGAGCCGTTCTCTTTACATAGAACACTAGGGCTCTCCTCACATCCAAGAGATGGAGGGACCACTCCAGGTCTGTCAATGGCTGCAGTAAGAAGGTAGGTAAGATGATGGGCTGATGGACGTGGAAATCAGAATCAACTTTAGGCAGAAAGGAAATATCGGGGTAGAGCATGACTTTGTCTGGGTGAAATTGCAGGAATGGGGGATCCACTGGAAGAGCTGCAAGTTTGGATGCTCTACAGTCTACAGGCTGATGTGATAGCTACCAAAAATAAAACTTTAAATGAGAGCATGGTGGTGGGAGTGTCATGGTCTGGGGCTGTATGAGTGCTGCCAGCACTGGGGAGCTACAGTTCATTGAGGAACCCATGAATGGCAACATGTACTATGACAGATTAAGTTGCAAGATGTTTAAAGGGCTGCAGTGTAAGACATGCAAGGTTGTAAGTAAGGCATATGGTGTGGCCAATCCAACGCAAGATAGTTTGAAGGGAAATATGAGTTGCCCTATGTGGTGGATGTGTGGAAACAAACAGTCTCTTAGACTTGCGGAAAGGAGCCGTTCTCTTTACATAGAACACTAGGGCTCTCCTCACATCCAAGAGATGGAGGGACCACTCCAAGTCTGTCGATGGCTGTGGTAAGAAGGTAGGTAAGATGATGGACATGATGGACCTGGAAATCAGAATCAACTTTAGGCAGAAAGGAAATATCGGGGTAGAGCATGACTTTGTCTGGTTGAAATTGCAGGAATGGGGGATCCATTGGAGGAGCTGCAAGTTTGGATACTCTACAGGCTGATGTGATAGCAACCAAAAATAAAACTTTAAATGAGAGCATGATGGTGGGAGTGTCATGGTCTGGGGCTGTATGAGTGCTGCCAGCACTGGGGAGCTACAGTTCATTGAGGAACCCATGAATGGCAACATGTACTATGACAGATTAAGTTGCAAGATGTTTAAAGGGCTGCAGTGTAAGACATTGGAGGACAGTATGCAAAGACCACTGTGGTGGTGGAACGTGTCTGGTCGATCACAAATTAGCCACACCTCAAAGAAATTGTTTTAAAGTAGGATGTTTGAATAACAAGGCAGCAGCAGAGACCTTGGGTTGGATTTGCTACAATTCCTGATAAGTAAACCTTATCAGAAGAATACTTTCTAACATCACCATGCGAAAATGCCTCTGAAAAATAGAGTAGTTTAGGTCTCAAAGGTCGAGAATGGGTCAGAGACCTCTGTCTCTTTTGGGAACAAGGAAATAACGGGAGAAGAACCCTGGATTGTCGTCCTGTGGGAAGACTACTGAAAGGGCGTCCTTTGAGAGGAGCGATTGAATCTCTTGCTCTAGGGTGTTTGATGGTGTAATTAGGACTACCTTCGGTGGTGGGAGGGAAACAAACTCTATCGCATAACCAATGGATGTTATAGACAGGACCCACTAATCGGTGGTGATGGACGCCCAAGATGGAAAATGGGGTGCTAGGCAAGTGGTGGTGAATGGTGGGATAGAGCAGTCCAGCTGCCATATAGGTCGATGAAAGAGTAAGAACACCAGGACTAATGCATGAGTTTTAAGAGGCAATGCAGGTAAGGGAAAAAACAGCTCAGTGGACTCTTCTCTTCTCCAGAGTCTGCTGCAGTCTGCCCAACCCTTCCAGTGCCTCAATTTATTATCTAAGATACTACAGCAGTTCTCAAGCAATTAACTATGCTCGTTAACATACCATCTGTGAGGCGCATGCATGATATACCTTTCCAGATAAGGAAGCAAAAAGCTAGCATGTGTGTGTGTTACAACATAACTGTTACATAGTTTTACTAAAGACAGCAGCAAATGCAAAGTTTAGCAGCAAGTATAGCAAACATATTCCCACAGTGGGAGATGAAGAAAGTGGATCTGGGCAATAGGGGAGTCAAAGGTTCTGCTCGATTTTCTTATCAGGTTGTCTGAAGGACCGTCGAGGATGTTGTCACTGAGCATGTTGACAATTTTGATATATGGAAGATGACTAAGGTAAGTATCTTTGTTTTCCTGGAAAGGATTTTTATTGATGAAAAGGATACGGGCGACACCATTGGTATCTTTGGGGCCTGTAATATGGCTGAGTGTTGTATGAATGAACCGTCTTTCTCATCTTTTGTAGGTTATCCAGTATTTCATCAGTTTCCTCATTGAAGAGGCCGACACCATCAAAAGATAAGTCCTCAATACGCATGTGAGAATCATCAGAAATGTGCGCTGATTGGAGCCAGGCATGCCTCCATAGGGCCACAGCAGTAGCCATGTGTCTAGAAACTGCCTTGATTATATGATGCACTGTTATGCGTTCTTGATGTGCTAATGCCATAGCCTCTTGATGAAATGCAAGGCCACGAGGCTTGTATTCTCCCGGGGCTGACTGTAAAGTTGGAAGGGCCTTGTTCCAAATATACCTATGACAGGCTTCCATCGCTGCTAGATAATTGGCTGTGAAAAATGCCAGCGAGTAAACTCTACATCCAATAATGTCGTTTCCTGACTTAATTATTATTGGGAGTAGTATTAGACCGAGTGTGTGATCTATTTTGTGTCGCATCCATGATTACAGAATTGGGAGGTGGATGTTTAAAGAGAAATTCAGTATGTTGGCCATGGGTTTTGTATAAGTTTTCGACTCTTCAAGATATTTGAGGAACCGAGGATGGCCTGGACCATGATTGTTTAATTAACTTGAGAAGAGATAGAATAAACCCCATCTGAAGTGCAGGTGTTTGATCCTCATTAATATCCTCATATACCTTATCTGATTCTGATTGGACCGGTTGTTGAACATCCAAATCCATGGCTTTGGCTATGCATAGAACCAATTGAGAATATGAAGAAAAGCCCTCCAATGGAGATGGAGGATTGGTATCAGCTACATCTTACATCATTTAATTCTCTAGAAGAAAGAACCAAGAAGCGTGAACGGAGAGCTCATTGAATGACGGCAAAAAGGAACGGAGGCAATCGCCAGGATGGGCGGACCATGTGTGCTGCTGGGGGTGGTCCTGGCGCATTCATGTTTGAGCTCTAGAATATTCCACAGATCTCTGCCCAGGCACAGATTAACCCATTAGTGTGCATTCACAGAGACCATGAAGAAGAACCAGATTTCACAAATATGAAAAGCAAGGTATGCGTACATAATGGAGGGCAGGGGATGTACATTGAGTGAAAACCCAATTGTACAACTAGCCTGAGAAGAGAAAGCTGGAGTCAGCAAATAATGTGGATGTGCTCTTCTTGTTCCAGCTATATCTGGGATCTGTAAAGAAACAAAATTCTTGTAATAAGACTACTGGTTTCTTACATAATCTAACATTGCAGGACAGTGACAATTGGCTGTGATTGGAGGCCAAATGGTTGGCTTTCTGCAAATTAGTTTATACAAATTAGAACTAATGGAAGGGGGAAGGACTGCTGTTTCACCATACAGTCTGATTGTATACTACAGAATCTATCCAAACCCCTGTAAACTTGTAAAGACAAGGGTTACACAGATGGAAACCCATTGATTCCAATGGGTAATTCACTGGAGTAAATCTTCTGAGGACTTAAATTAAAGTCCAATAAGAAGCCAGTTTTACTGTATTCCAATAGCAGGGAACCTGTAGCTCTCCCAATGTTTGGACTATATTCCTGTAATCCCAGCCATTGACTATGCTGTTTTGATCCTGGCACGGTAGATTACTGTCTAAAATAATAGCAGATAAAATGTGTTCTGAATTACACATTCTATATAGAAAAAGTGAAATATATATACATATCTTAACAGATGCTTGTGTAACTCCATTAATATATCTTCTCATAAGGAAGAAAATGGATTTTTTCATATTATGTACAGGGAAGAAAAGAGGTAGCAATTTCAAAAGTTTACGGAAATGGGTCGCAATTGTTATATAAAATTTTACATACACTTTTCAGTGTAATCTGATGTTTTTTGCATGAGAGAGTTCAAGGCAAAAAGTGAAAGAGGTGCAGGAAATCTTATATGAGCATGGGTGGAAATATTGTGGTTATTAGTATGAGGAATGTACAAATAACAGCAAGTTGTAAAAAAAAATCTAAAATAATTAATGAGTTCCACAGACTTGTCTTTTCATTGAATTTTAAAACATGTTAAGAAATGTTAACATTATTCAAACTCATCAAATTGTTTATAAAAAGACAGCATATCTTTATTACATAGTGTGTCATTACTAGAAATGGGGGTATTCGTATATGAATATCCCCCTACAGGTGGAAATAATGAGGATCCCATTCCACTGCTGATGCCAACTCAACGAAGCCTTCCTATCGTGCCGTTGTCCACGATGGATTAGCCACTCTGCAACCTGGTAGAGAGGCGTGTCATCCCGCCTACTGCCAGGAGTGGCTAATCTATTGCGGACAAGGGCGCAATAGGAAGGCTCCGTCGAGCTGGCATCAACAGTGGAATGGTGAGTGGACAGTCCAGCCCTATGGGGCTGGACCCTCATTATTTCCACATTTGGGGGAGATATTCGTATTCATATATGAATCATATCTCTAGTCATTACATATAAAGTCAATTGCACAAAAGCCAGATCACAAAGGAACCGCCAGTACTGAAGGAGGCAGAAAACTAGGGACTTAAATGGCCGTGAACTATATCTAGCATCGAAATGAAATCCCACATTACCCCTTTCCCTGTATAAAACTTCTATATGGTAAAAGTATTAATCTAATATTTATTTCATTTAATTATTAAGACATTAAGTTAGCTGGCATAAGGCAGAATTCTTATCCTGTTTGTGTTTGGCCTTTGACCCACTTAGAATGGGGACATTGAGCCGTGTCCACAAATGTCTGTTCTGCAGAGGAATGCAAAGGACAGTATTATCATTGTGTGCACAGGGTCAAAGGCAGGAATGCATACATTCTCTGTAGATAAGTGTCTGAGAAACAATAGCTTGCCGGAAAGCATAGAGCAGATAAGAAAGTAAATGTCATGTTACACTTAGCCTCAAATGCAAGGTTACTTGAATGGATAATGATATATGTTTCTATATAGTAGGTACAGTACTTAATTTATGATTGGTGCTTATGATTATGACTGGTGACCTCATGCTAAGAGTTTATGTTTGATGCCTATATAATGAAAGGGTTGTGCACCTGGCAGGTATCTGTTCTGTTGCAATGAGCTAGACTCAATGATTTTATTAACGAAGAACTGTTGCAAAGCATGAAAGTTTGCATTGGTTGCACTAAGACCATAATCAAAGAATTTTCCCAACAGAACCAAATTAATAGCAAACCTAACAGAGCTTTCAAGGTATGTGAAATAGTTAAGGAGCACTTTTAATTCACAACTTCTGCCTCTGCTACCAGATACCTAATTTAAATACCCAGAAACAGACGAATTTGGCTGACTCCAAATTTGGAACTACAGCTACATATCAATGCAAGGGCTGAGACAGTCTTGTTGGTTGGCCAAGCTCTAGATACCAAGGTGAGGATGTCCTCTTCTGGAAAGTAGTCGTTTCCATGTGCCAAAGATAGGAGCCAAGATACTAGAGGAGCAAATGAGTAGATACTTGGAAGGTCCTCTTCATCGAATTTTACGGACTGCTTGGGATGAGCTCAGCAGAGTGCATTGCTTTTGAGCTAATGGCAAGAACATCACCCTGGCCAGCCTTTACAAAGCATTCTTGGGAAGTAGTGTTTTGCTTCAAGGTTTTGGTCCTCATCCAAGTCTGGATAGTTCCCATCCCCCTTTTTGCCCTGGATGCTTTTCTCTTTGTTTTCCACATCTTTCCCCCTCTTTTCTTGTTATCAGCCACTAGTGCTCTGACCACTGCAACATTGTCTTGTTGCTACTGCTGCATCCCATATTGCTTGCAAATGATCTGCACAAATCAGCTGCTTGCATGTGCTGCCTTGAGTCTCTCAGACTGGACTGAAGGCTCACTGCCCAACAATTTAGCTAACAGATCAGGCTCCTCACCTGCTGTTGCCTCCCTCTCCAATCACAGGACTTCTAGGTTGGCTTCCAACTCAGCCTTTTTGTGTGCATCAGTAGTGGCGGTGGCAGCAACAACAGCAGCTTCTGCTTGCATAGTTGCTTCTTTCTTCCATAAGAGGAACATGCCCATGCAGCTTCTGCTTCAGCCTGTGTTGTGGCAGCTGTTTGACATCAGTGTGGTGCATTATTCATTACATATGATAAGAGCTGGGTTGTTTTTCTTTTTTATGACCAAAACATTTTTCCAACAGCTACTTGTTATTTACTATCTCAAGAATCTGATGCAGCTGATAGGAGATATGAGCATGGTTGGGACACCTGTTTGTTGGTTTTCCTAAGATGTCTGTTTGGCCTCTTGGAACAGACTACTGGGTTACACAGGCCTTTGAACTGCTGAAGTACGGCACTTACGGAAAATTTCTGCCAGTCAAAAGCGTTATATAATGTACAGTATTCTAGTTTTCTTGCACATCATCTTGGGAAAAAGAGTCGCATAAATACATATTTTATTAACCATAAATTAAAACAGTTGAATTCATGGAGATGACTGTTTTTTTTTCTTCTGAAACCAAAGAACATTTGAGCCAAACTAAAAAGAAGGAAATTACAGAGGATTCTTCTATAGTATTTTTGCCTTTTTCCATGGTACTCTTCAGACTACTTCAGCAGAACAGGCATGGCAAGCGGCTCATAATCATAGTGTTCACATTTGCTTCACAAAGATCACATTCATCTCAACAATCCAGTTATTAGGAAATTACCAGGGTGGGGAGTTTTGAGCTAAATGAAGATACAAACCAAACAGTAGGCTATCTGCAAAGTATTTATTTATTCTTGCTCTAATCTGGAATATACCGGTTATATACCACAGTATTTCACCAAAACAGGAAGTTCCGTTTCTGTGGTTTTACTCAAAAGAGGAAACAAGATGATTTTTCATGCCCATTATTAGATGGTTAAAAAAACACACACATTCATTTTGGAATGTATTATATTTTGTGGCACCTTAAAAGCTAACTGCTAGATTTTAATATGCACTTGCTTTGACAAGTCCATTTCCTCCATGAAAGCTCATTTTAAAATATAGCATGTAGTCTTTAAGGTTCTACAATGTTTCTGTCTACTTTATGTTTTTTAAATTTTTCTTGCTTTTGCCTGATATGTCAGCACAGACTCACACTGACTACCTTGTCTAAAATTACTTATATTACTTCTGTTACATGTATTGTTTTGTGCTTTGCCATCACTCTGGGCCCTTCTGGAGAGACAAACAATGTATATACGAAATGAAATAACTGTACTGTAGATGGTTTTGAAAAATAACTAACTGATACAGTGAGCAAAACTGAGTGGCAAAGCTTTTTTAAAAACTGCCCTGATTAAAGTGGAATGGTGTCTCTATGAACCCATTATTGTATGTATGAAATAGCTTATCTGCCAAAAGAATGGGTCAATTCTAAACAAACTTGAGTTTCAAGAGACTGTATATCTCTAGCTCCATCCCAAAGAAAGGTTTTAAAACATGTAGCTTGAACTGGCCTTATTCAAGATAAACATTCAAGATATGTGCCATTGAATCACAGAACTGTAGAGCTTGGACCACAAGGGTCATCTGGTTCAACCCCTGTTGAAGCAGGAATTCCACAGTTTAAGTATCCCCTGACAGATGACCAACCAAATTGTTTTAAAAATATTCAGTGAAAAAGAGTCTGCTGGCCAAGGCAATCCATTCCATTATCAAACAGTTCTTACAGTTAAGAAGTTCTCTGTAATGTTTCATTGAAATTTCCCTTCTTGAAATATAAACCTACTGTTTCAAGTCGTAGCCTCTGGAGCCACATAAAACAAATCTATTTCATTTTCCCTGTGATATCTCTTGAAATATTTGGAGATGGTTGTCATGCTACTTTGTAAGTATTACCTCTCAGTCTCCTCCAGACAAAACACAGCCAGCTCCTTCTTTCATCGCTATCTTTTGTCTAGTAAATGACCATCCTGATCGTGTCGTATTTATGTATATACTGTATGTTGCTGATGCAGCAGTGGTTGAAGAAAGAAGCTAGTCTATGAGAAACTGTTACGTTATTTCCCAAGTGCCAGCTCCATGCATTGTTTCTTGAGTACAGAACACATCCTTAAATATTCACTATATCCACTGGTCATTTTAATTTGTGAGTTTTACTATGCATGTTGCCTATTAATAAACAAAGATCCACAGAATGCTAAAGTTATCTTAAGGGCAATTTTTGCAATGCTATTTAATGTACTCCATGCCTCAACTGCCACCATGCAAAAGAAAGAACAACCTATCAGCTATAGCAGCTAAATGCAGCCTCCATCTCTAAATGTAATAGTGCCTTCACAACCTGCTTATTATCCCGGACACATGTGTTTGCTAATTAGGAAAGAATGTTGAACTACTGCTGGATGGTGCAGCAGGACTGTTTAAGGAAGCATCTTCAGGAAAGCAGAGCAAATTCTGCGGAGTTGCAGTTTGTTAGTGATGTTATATATAGACCTTCGAACTGGTTAAGGTCTACACCCACAGTGTTGCTCTAAAGCAAAGCTACTAAACCTACACTTAACCGTACATATTTATAATAGAAAAAAGCTGAACTAATGAAGTGATTTCTTAGTAGTAAAATAATATGGATGAAAACAGAAGAGCCAGTGTTCTAGCATTTGGGAACAGAAAAGAAAAACACTCTGGAAAAATCATTACAACACTCAATTTGACAGGACTGAGATTTACACTTCTGTCTCACTATGTACATTAGTGAAACTAGCATGCAGCTGCTGTTCTAAGCATAGAGAATTTCACTAATAAAGAATTTCCTGGCCACATAACCGCTTCTTGTGTTGCAAAGGAAGCGCTACAAAAATAATTAACAAAACTGCTCAATATTGGAAAAGGCCTCCCCATTTTGACCAGCTAAAACCCTAAGAATTCACAGCAAGACTCATACAGTATGTATCATTCTCTGATGGACTGCTTTCACTTTGGTGACAATAAATGTAAAATAGATGAAAGTTATAAAAAGTCTATCTGCTGCCCAGCCTTACATGAGGTTTTTGCATTCCATCACTCTATAGTTTTTCCTTCTGGCTGCGCAAGAACAAATCATTAGCTATGCTATAGTCAGTTCCCATTCTAATCCTTAGTGAGCTGTGCATTCAGGCAAGGAAAAACCTCTTAAGAAAAAAACAAGTGTTTTGTTCCCATCTATGTATATAGAGAAAAATTCAACAGATGCTCCATTATACATTATTCCACTGACCTTCATCATTCAGAAAAGTCTGATTTCCAGAAAGAGGGCAGAAGGCTCAGACAAGAGACAAGGCCATTGTATTTATGGTCCTGGTGTCACATTTGGTAGCCTACTGCTCAACACAATTTTAATGCTGATACTAATGCTCCCCTCCTCCGGCCCTAACACAAATAAGCTTTGTTCTTCTGAAGAATGTTAATTTGTTCTCTGCTGATCACATAATGTAAGCATGATGGTCAAATAACCAAACATGAGAAAAAGATGTGGGAGAAAGAGGCAATGTTTTAAATCTTCATTTTAATCAAGCGTATAAATAATAAGAGACTGGAAAGGTCTGGGACTCAGTTTGCAGCTCATTCTCACACGCTTATTTAGAATTAAATCCTGTAATGTTCAATGGACCATATTTCCTTGTAAGTAGGGCTCACAAATGCAGCTGTTGGCCCAGATCCTGAAGCAGCCTCTGAATCATCTTACAGAACTCCAAAATCAGAATTAAAACTGGCAGAAGACAAAGAAGTGTTCCTTCATCCAGGTATAGTTTCAACAGAATGTAAGACCAATATTTTCTGAACCAAGACACAAGTACACTGTACTCAGTCACCAGAGATGCTGTGATTTTCTACGAAAGCGCTGATCTTCTGTAAAGCTTTCTAGCCATCTACATTCAAAAGAAAGATCTAGTTAGGTGTTTATTATTAATTTCCAATCAATTACATTCAAGAGTTACCTATTTTTATCTTTATCAGCTGGTCCTTCTGCAGCACACCTAACATGGCAGCCCTTTTATGCATGAGGGCACTGCATGGCAGCCATTTGTGATGGCACCCTTTAAACTTTGTCAAAATTTTCAGTGTACTCATAGGCTTAAAAAAGGTTGGGTATCCCTTCTGCGGATAAAATAGTTCAAGCAATAACTTTGCTTGAGTTCCACTCCCCATTTTATCTGAAATAAATTCAAAGAATAAGGTATTTGAATATTCCAAAGAAACTCATTATTCGAGACCCCAGTAGATACCTCTGTCTTTCATAGCAATATTTTTAAAAGAAGGAAAAAAAACCCTACAATGTTTATTTACAGTATATCGAATCAGACCTCAGTACATTTTGCCCAGCTCAGCCTTTTCCAATTAGCATCAAACATTCAAGACCCCTGTTATTTTTTTTAAAATAATTGGGGGGGTTTGTTGTTGTTGTTGTTTTTTTTCCTGGAGACACTAGATAACTCTCAAGTACAATTTCTGTAACTGAGCTATGGTACATAAGCCATGTACCCCCTAATTTTCAGCCCCACTGGATGGCGCTTCGCCTCGCTCTCGCACAACTTCACTTTTGTGTGCATGTGCAACCCCTGTGCAGGATTCCGTCGCAAACAGAACTAAAGGGGTTGAATGCAATCACTGCGCAGAGGAGGAAGAGAGCTGGGGAAGAGGGAAGTGGAGTAGCATGCACACAGTTTAGAGGGAACCTTGTACATAAGGAGTTTGTAAATTTGTTTTCTGCAGATAAGACAAACGCACAATTTGTATTTTATATGTCTACTTAAGAAAGTAAGTGTTACAGAGTCCTAAGCTTTTTAAGCTCTGGTTAAAATATTAAGCATATCACCATAACTCTGGAATGATCAGAAGAAATAAATAATAATAAAACACAGCTAATGGTTTTTAAAGTGATCCTATAGCTGTGTCTCTTCTGAGTCACTGCACACTCCCTGTCACAGGAATTAAAAAGCAAAGAACAAATCTAACTTTTTTTTTAAAAAAAATGCTAATCAATACCTACTCACTGGCTACATTCAGATGTTGGCTACAAAATAATTAGAAAAACTCTAACTAAATAAAAGTGCAGGCAATTGCCTTATAACCAGTTACATAGATAATTGGCTCATTTCAAGGCCAGACCAAACCAGTTTGTTGCTGTCTAATCCTACCACCCCATGCCATCGCATAAGGACAATCTTGCAAGGAATTCTACCTGGTTAGCAGGCCACGCTTCTTCACATTCACCTGTGCAGCAAATGATCGTGCACCTGGCCACACAGAGACTACTGAAGAGGAGACTGCTTCTTCAACTGCCCTTAGGCACAGTTTCCCCCACAAAACCCCAGAATTTTGACCCAAATGGTTAGTACCCAATGCCAGGCAATATATTTAAATACATGGCAGAACATTTTATTGTCATTTCTCCCTGTGTTAAACAGTGTACAGTTGTGATCTTTGTGGCCATGCTGCAGAAGACAACCTAGTGAAAGGCAGGGTTGTGGTCATAATTCTAACCTGTAACTCAACACTACATCTGAACAGAACCTGTTTGTCTAACTATCCCTGGCTAGCAGTGGCTGTTCGGAGTCCCAAGCAAAGATTTTTCATATTACTTCTGCCCATCTTGTCAACTTTTTAAACTGCAAAAGCCAAAACTACTTTACCTTTTTCAATGACAAGCCGTGGAGAATTCTATTTTATTGTTTTTTCTTCTTGAACTTTCACTTTGTCACTCTCTGCATCAGCCTTATAGACACAGATTGAAATTAGACACAGAAGCCAGACATTTCAACAGGCAAAGCAATATTCATAAAACTATGTGTAAATTCAAAAAAGAATTTGATGCACTGGGATCCTCATGTTTAGACATCTGTTAAAGCATTAGATCGTTTTAGTTTCTTCTCAGTGTATATTTTGGAGTCTCAGCATATATGTACTTAAATCACTATCATATATTACAAAGGGAATAGCTGGGATTCTTAGTGCACCCTCTAGACAGATTACTCACTCCTGAGTAATCCAGTGAATTACTTTGAGTGAATCAGAAACATGAAAAGTAAATGGGAGAAGCTTGGTTAATATGTTTGTATTTAGGATACTATGAAAGAGAGAGAGAGATGGGACAATTTATATGTTGATTTTGATTTGCATTTCTTAATATAATTACATGCTGCCAAGTCAATTCTGACTTGTTGCCATCCTTTTCAGGCCTTTCCAGGTAGAGAATGCTCAGGAGTGGTTTACCAATCCTTCTTCTGGGGTACTCTGGGACTGTGCAGCTTGCCCAAGGTCACACAGGGTAGCTTTACTCGTACAAGAAATGGTGGGGAACTGAACTCCCAACTAGAGATGGGCAAGTAGGATTACCATTACGAAGAGCAGCAGCATAGGTGCCACAGAGGCCCATTTCCCTCTCCCCAGAAATGGCCGGTCCACTCACCATTCACTGCATGGCACTTGGCTCCTTTGTGGTGGTGGTCACGCCAATCGCAGAAGGAGCCTGGCTGACTCTTCTCTGCCTCCCTGTGCCACTCATTGCTAAATGAGGATACTCCCTGTCCTGCCTCTGTTTTGAAATGGTTGATTGTGTGGGGAGGTGAGGAAGAGCTCACCGGGTTCCTTCTAGGGTTGGTGTGACCACCATGATGAAGGAGCTGAGCTCTGCACAGTGAATGGTGAGTAGACTGGCCAGTTCTGGGGGGAGGGAATGGGTCTCAGGCATATGAATACATATAGCCAATTTCTACTCCCAACCTCTGGCTCCACAGCCAGATACCTAAATCACTGAGTTATCCAGCCAGCTATTTCTTAGGTAAACCCAATTTCCTTTTCTTAAGTATCCCTTATTTACAGTTCATACACAATACTTAACAGTTCATGTGCTCATAATTTCAAGCAACTGCCTAACTAACCTGCTTTGTTAACATGATACTCTGTAGACAGAGTGGACATATTCTTAAACCATGGCTTAGAGATAGAAAATGAGCCACAGAGAGCTCAATCTTCCACACTTGTTCCCTCCTCTTTAGCTTCTTTGCATAAAAGAGAATGATTTCCATATCAGACCAAACCACAATTCCATATAACACTGGAACCCAGGGAACTGTGATTTGCACAAACTAAGATATGAAATCATGATTGAACCTGGTTTGTTTAAATTAAGTCAGGTTGGAATTATTCAGTTCTCTGTATTCTGATGTCTGTTCTAATGAGAAAATTAAACCTTTCCTGTCTCTCCTGAACACTAAGGACAAGGAGGAAGGATAAATATGAAGACCCAACATTCACTATGGCTTATTCCTGATCATTAAACCTCTCCAACCAGGCACTTTTAGTTGTAGTTTGCCGTCAAGTTCCCCCTGTCCCCAGCCAGCACAATCAAAGACTATACTGTGAGACAGGAGGCGAAAAAGACAGAGCAGTGAGGGACAAAGACAGATGAGCTAGAAGGGGAGATGCAAAGACTAACCATTGAAAAGGCTCAGGGAGGAACAGTGGGAAAGGAGTGGAAGAAGAGGGTGGAGATAGAAGCGGGAACAGCAGAGATAAAAAGTAGGGAAGACCAGTTACTGCCAGGCTGAGAATGGGTATGGATGGAAGACCTGTGGACTGGGGCTTGGGAGAGGCTGAGAGTACCCAAGGAAGAAGCCGATTATAGGAAAAGAAGGGAGATTCCACCCAGGCCGTCCTATTGGTGAGAGGCGGAGGCTAAAGAGTGAAGAAGGAAGCATAGAGAGGAGAAGGAAAAAGGAGAGAGAGATTGGAATGGAGGGTAAGCAAGATGAAGAGGAAGGGGTTCAGAGAGGACCCTGGAAGGTGTGGGATGACGGCCAGGATGATGAGACCATGCCTTTGTTGGAAGGTGAAACGGGACAGGGTATAGCCACAAATATCTTTGCAGACTGGCCGGGTCCCTGGAACTCTGGTGAGAGAAACCTGTTTTTGGAAGATGATTGGAAACCCTTTCAAGACCCGTTGGCGGAAGGAGAAAGGTGATGGAATCATGTTATGGGCACTGGCTATTTGTTAAACACTCCCAATAAATATTTCACCTGTTTCCAAACAACGAAAATCTCTTGATTTCTTTGAAGCAAGGAAGGAGCCTAAATTCAAACCCTCACACATACTGACTAAGAATCACATCAGGTGAACACCAGATTGGAGAATGCTGGTCTAGGCAAGCCATTCTTAATGGTAGCCAGATGGTCCTCTGGGGGACTCTGGCATATCTGAAGGGGGCCAAAGACTGGAAACAGTTCTTCACACACCACCTGTTATGTGATTTATACAATATAATTTCTTTTATTTTGGGTTTATAGCCAAAAAACGGCTGAAAATTACTGATCTAAAACAATACTGGTGTCCATGAATAGCACTGCCTTTTTCTTCACTGGAACCTGGAGGTGACTGTATGAAGTTATTGCCTCTGGAATATGTTTAACCAGCCAGCAGTGAACCCCCAAGAAACCTAAAAAAGCCTCATGGCCTATAATATCACTAAAATACTTGTTTCTTTCTAGAACATTGTGGTTGCAGCAAGAACAAGTTACTTAACCATACCCCTGGGGACAAGCTACACTGCTATCTAGGACAAATTACACTATTAACAGAAAACAGTTAACATATCTAAGGAAGTTTATGTAACTTCTAAAAGGAGCATTTTTGCTAAATAAGCATTTTCTGATATTAACTGGTTTTAGTGCAGGCAATCAACAGTTGTTGTGGAGACTTTACCCTTCCTTAAAATAATCAAGTAGTTGTCCTTATGTTACCTCTATTGGAGCTTCTAAGAATGTATCTACATCAGCTATTGCACTGATGTCTGGTTTTAATTAGCCTTCTGTCTGAATGCCACTTTTTTTTCCTCTTGAGACACTGCAGTGTCAACGGATATTATAATCATCATTCCCCCACTGCACAAAATAATGTAAGTCTTCAAAAGGAATTAAACTGCATGTGGTTAACCATCCAGTTAGTGAGCAAAGAGAAGATCACATGCACTTGTTGTAGTGTCTCTCCTTAAGAGAGCCTCGTCTACTCAGGCCACCTGTTCTTCTCAGGCTTCTTGGCTGTGGGGGGCTGCCCCAACAGAGGACCGGAAAACAATTGCTAGCAGCGAGACTTTTCGGTGGTGGCTGTGATGCCCTATGGAAAAACGCCAGGCTCCCTCCCTCTTGAGCTCCAGGAAACATGTGAAAGCTGAGCTTTTTAAGGAGGCCTTTAAGTATATCCTCCCTGTATGGCAGACTTGCTCACCCTTTACATCTGAATTTTAATTTTGTTTGCCATCGCTTCCAGGAGTCGTTTTGCTTAATCTGTATTTTTGGAGAGTTTGGGGTATGGTGGGAGGGTGTGTGTTTAAATCTGTTGTAAACTGTCCAGAGTAGTATGTATATATTTAAATAAATAAATAAATAAATGAATGAATGAATAAATGAATAAATAAACAAATCAATAAACATGTCTTTCAACCACACCCTGTAATAACTGAGACAGTGCATGAATAAATAAATAAATAAATAAATGTCGGATTTTGTACGTATGTATAGGATAACCATCTTAGATGTTCTGCTGTACCTTTTCACTTGCTTTTGCAGATTTCTTCTTTTTGGGGCTGTCCTTCCAGAGAGATTCTATATTTATGTATGCTTGCAAACTCCATTCATATAGTTGAGAGCCAGTTACCTTTTTAAAAAGATCAGTCAACAATCAGCTTAACAGTCATAGTTTGGGATTTCAAACATTATTTTAGGCTTTAGTAGCAATTAATTGGCACATTTTATCAGAACTGCTCACTGAATCACTTTTACTCTACAGTGGTGCCTCGCAAGAGGAATTTAATTCGTTCCACGGTTAATGTTGTCTTGCAAAAAATTTGTCTTGCAAAACGTGTTTTCCCATAGGAATGCATTGAAATCTAATTAATGCATTCCTATGGGCAAAAAAGTCAGAACAAAGTCAATTTTGGTTTACAAAGGGTTTATTAAGTGCTCTTTAAAGCCATACATATTGATTTAATATGTATTTGATTTAAAAAATTTCAATCAAAAAGCTTTAACTTTTTAAACATCATAGAAAAACATTTAAAAATCAGCAAACATGAGGCAGGAACAAAAAACGGAAAATATTCTTTTTGCGAAGCATGGCCATAGGAACATTTGTCTTGCGAGTCATCAACCCCATTGCCAAAACCATTAGTCTTGTGAGTTTTTTGTCCTGCGAGGTATTTGTCTTGCAAGGCACCACTGTATTTGGGAAAAGGCCATTACAAAGAGAAAAAAGAGATCATACCAAATGACAGGGAAAATTACATACTAGGCAGTGAAACATTACTCCAAAAATTATCTTATACAGATATAGTTGCTGCCATATATGGAAAAAGATCAAACGATCAGCCCAGACATACATATTAATATTCATCTGCAACAACACTGCAAACAGTATAAATTTTAATTTAATGGTATATGCAATGTTAGAAGATTGGACAAATGTTTCTCCCCAGGCTTATCACATGATATGCATTACAACACAAATAACAACATCTTCAACTTACCCAGTACCATTATCGGGCTACTTGAGCAAATATTTGCAAGTGTCAATAGTAATGTAAGTCACAGAACATGAAGAAATAAAAGCAGACAGAACAAAAACAAAGACCAGACTAAAGCAAACAATGGAGACTGTTTTTCTTACTGGCCTTTGGAACATGCCATAAAATGACATGCTGTAAAATGACTATGCATGTACTTTTTAAATTATTAAAATATGTAAGTATCTAATTATCACAAAAATAGCATTCACTCAAACATTGTAGGCAAAACCAAGAGCCTCTCCTCCTATTTAAAGCAGTCTTTTTAAAGTGCATTTTTAGTCTAATTGCATTTTAATACTATATTTGTTTGACTGTGTTTTAATATAAAAACATTCTGGATGTTTCTTTTGTACTTGCTTTTACTTGTACCTTTTTAAAGACAGCTAAAATTGCTATGAGTCCCGGCCATGACAGAAAGGCAGGATACAAGTCAGCCAGCCAACCAATCAACCAACCAACTAAATAAATAAATAGACAGTTCTGTGCACATATTTTTTTAAAAAAAGGAGCCTTCAAAATAAAATGTCAGTGCTAAAGACACTGACCTGCATCCTAAAATAAGTTGTCATCTCCCCCAGCACATCAATTCCACTTTACTTCTATATTACTCCTATAAACTTTGATGAACAAATCTGATTATTTTCTGAAGCTGTTTACCTGGTTTAGAAAGCATATGTCTTGCATCTGCTCTGCCAGCATACTCCAAGCATTCACACACAACATTTCTGCCCTGGCCCAGCTTGGTATTCTAATATTTGTACTATTTTGCAGATGGTGCAATCAAACCCTGAGCTATTCTGAGATATTTTGTGATATCTGAAAAGGCATATATTGGACAGAGTAAGTCATCAAAACATTGGCTTCAGCACTGCCTATGGGGAAGAGGTCAAAGTTGTCCACTGGGAAAAAATAAGAAGAAAACATGTATTTCCCATAGTTACTAACCTTGGCAATGGTAATAGCTTGCTGAGGATAGTAAAGCGAGGCACCAATCCCAATGAAGCTTACTGGATAAACAAACTTCTTTATTTTGGAACCTGTTTCACAGAAGATATATTACTTCTCATTGTACCGGCATCTGTTGCTTTTTAAAAACTGATTTACTGAATGAGGTGCTCCACACATCAAATCATACTCTTGAGACACACTTTCTGCGCATGCACATAACGTATTTTGTGAAATAAAATAATTCACCATGGCATAAACTGGGATAGAAGTGCTTAACAATGGAATTTGATTAAACTGAATGGTAGAGTGAGAGGGGAGTTGAAGATCAGGATATTAATGACTTAAAAGAGCCTTTGGCAGACCATGCCCATATGATTCTAAACTGTCCTCTGTAGTCATGAATATTGGATACATATTTAAAACACAAGTTAAACACATGCAAACTGTCCCAGAAGCAAAGGAAAGTGGCCAACTACTCCGCAAGAAAGAATTTCTAACGTGAGGATCCCAGTGACAGCTAGTAGTAATAGTTTTCTAAATGTGGGATCAGGGCATGGATTCAAGAGGCCCCAGCATTATTTCACAGCTTCCAAGGAGCTGCCGTGTTTACTAGTGTGCTGAAAGACAGTCAACCTAATAAGAATGAAGTGCTTTTCCTTTATGTCATATGATAAGCATAGGGCAAAAAGGAAGGGTTCTTCAAGACCAGGTTTTCACAAGAATCTGTTATCTGCTCCTGCATCTAGCCCAGAAATGACATCACTGCAAAAATAAATCCACATCAATAGTTGACAAGACACATTGCCAGCTGCCACATACCTCTTGCCAGGAACAAACCAACAACACCAGCAAAACCTATGACACCAAGTCTTGGATAAAATCCTGGAGGTGGGTTTTTAAGAAGTTCATAACCTTCTAAAATAAAAAAGCAAACCACAACATATTATACATACACATCAGACATTTTTCTATAGTAATACTTCCTTACAAATGCCATATATATGTATATTTCTCCTCCTCCTATAAACACTGGCTAAAACTGCAATTATCTTCTTAATTACATTCCATTTTTCCTCCAAGGAGCAAAAGGGGGCATATATGGTTCCCATCCTAAGCTTATCCTCACAACTACTCAATGAAGTAGATTAGGCTACTAAACTTCTGATGACAGAGCTACAGGTTTACCAACAAATATGTAATAGAATTATTCATTGACTGTATACCCTTTCAAGCTGTAGGTGATGGGACTTAAAATTTTATCTTGTAAAGAAAATTGGCATATATTAAAATGCCAGAGACATGGCTATGTTAAAATATGTACCTCTGATGTATTAGCTCCTTAACTTAAAGAGTTTCTATTCCCTATAGATGAGCACATAATAAAAGACAATCCCTTACATGCACTCTGAAATAATATTGCCCCACATTACAAGATTTAACTTTTTTTTTTGAAGTTTATAGATCTTTGGTTCCGATAATATTAATTCACAAAGTAAGATCTCCCTTTCAAAAACAGTGTGAATATACAAAACATTCTTAAACATTATCGTGGCGCAGTGGTTAAACTGCTGTACTGCAGCTAAAACTGTGCTCACAACCCGGGTTTCAATCCCAGGTAGCCGGCTCAAGGTTGACTCAGCTTTCTATCCTTCCGAGGTCAGTAAAATGAGTACCCAGTTCGCTGGGGGGGGGGGCAATGTGTAGCCTGCATAATTAAATTGTAAACCGCCCAGAGAGTGCTTGAAGCGCTATGGGGCGGTATATAAGCAGCACGCTTTGCTTTGCTTTAATGTGCTGTCTGGTTATGCATAAGCACTGTTTACAAAATTCTTAAACACACACACACATTACAGGATTATTATTTTATTTATTTATTTATTTATTGGACTTATATACCGCCCCATAGCGCTACAAGCACTCTCCGGGCGGTTTACAATTTTAATTATAAAGGCTACACATTGCCCCCCCAGCAAGCTGGGTACTCATTTTACCGACCTCGGAAGGATGGAAGGCTGAGTCAACCTTGAGCCGGCTACCTGGGATTTGAACCCCAGGTCGTGAGCACAGTTTTAGCTGCAGTACAGCGTTTTAATCACTGCGCCACGAGGCTGCTTATTGCTTATTACTGCTTATTGCCAATTATTTCACTCCATGGACCTGAAAAAGTTGGCTGTTAATGATGGAAGGTCACACTTAAATGAATCTTAGTCTTTAAGATGCCACAATATTTCTCTTCTTATTTTTATTATACATACCATTTTAAACAGAGCTCAAACTTCATGAACTTGTTTTTCAAGTACAAACACTAAATCTGATAGCACCTTACATACTAGCAAGCAAAATACAACCTAAACTTTCATAGGCCATGGCCTACTTTAGATTAATGAAGTCTTATTTTCAGCTGACAGGCAAGGGAGGGAAAGCACAGAAAAAGATTTCTATTGGAACCATAAGGCCCAGCAGTGTAAGAAACAGATGTGAACCATCACTGTGAAAATGAAAACACAAACTAATTCTTTTTGAAAAGATGTTACAAGTCCAGAGTGGTGATTACTCAATCCCATTTGGTGAGAGGCTAGCAAAGCAAGATGAATATAAAACAATAAAAGAGAAACAGCAACACATGTAACAGCACACTATATAATTCTCATTATTTAAATTGCTATTAGACTCTTGGCTAGGTTCCCCCCCCCCCCGTTCTGCTGGAACAGAACAACTCTGCAAGGAGTTCCTATTACTGCTCTCTTTAAAAATTATCTGTAGTTATGAATTAAGTTGGAAACTTGGTAGAACACTTGTTTCAAAAAGTGGCAGCTTGAGATTTATTTATTTTTTCTTATTTGGGCCAGTGTCAAGCAATACAGTAATATGCCATAGTGGCATGATTGGCTGCAACACTGAGGGTTGTTCTATTTCCAGCCATCATCTTTAAAAATAAATCGTCTGGAAACTTTCCAAGTTCTTGATTCTCTCTGGCCCATTTATCTTCCTGTAACCTGACCCTCAACCTTAGTCCTTCTGAAGATGGGGGTTCTCTGGAACAAAATGAGATATGGCACACAGAGGGCTGCAGTGATTTTCTTGTCTCCACTATGTAATGTGGCTGTATTAATTTGTTTCCTATCAAAAATAACTGGACTTTTGTTTAGTTTCCAGCAGAATGCTTATATTTCTTGAAGCACATTGTCTGGCACCTAACATGCTCCAGTAAAAACAAATGCATTGCACACAATGCATTTGGAGCAACTAATTGGTGCCTCTCTCTATACACTATAGTTTGTACTCAGTGGGGGTACGAAACATTTTTTTTCTGCTGTTGGCCACATTCCTTCTGAGATATTTTGTTGGGGTGGCTGCAGGCAGGGGTTAAACCTAGTAGAGAATGAGCTTGAAGCCAAAAGTAAGTGAGCCAATTCCTTTCTCTCCCCCATCAAACAAGGTGCAGTAGAAGAAACATACTGCTGTTGAAGAGGCATGAAATGATCACTTGCAGAAGGCATTCAAAAGACTTTGAGATAAATCCAAAGGCCACAGATTGATCACCATGATATATGTCAAAGGTGCTAAAACATAGGGCTGGGGTATATTCCCACTCTGGTTCAATATGTGTTTACTAGTATACACATCCCCTATTTGACACTACCTTAGATCAGCATTCATTCGCATTAGAGCCACTCCTCATGGCACCCCTTCTGGAACAGAGGTTTGAAGAACTCTGCTGAATGTGATTTGTAATTATGTGGGAATGGGCCCCTGGAAAACCAGACAAAGGCAGGTCTGTAAGTGCAGGCCTACTGTCTCTGGAATGTAGACCCTGGAACCAACCTAAGGTTTTCGAGGAAGCTTTAGAACAGTGTAATCAGTATCTCCAGAGCACCTCCTAATATTGTACAAATTATGCTAGATTGCATAATTTAGTCAAAGCAAAGCTTGTGTAGCCTTGGGCAAGCTGCACAGTCCCAAAGTACCTCACCTCTAGAAGAAAAGAATGGGAAACCATGTCTGAGTACTCTCTACTCAGAAAACCCTGGAAAGGGCTCTCATAAGTCAGAAGGAAGTTGAAGGCACATACTATTATTCCTTATCAACATGCTGGCAACAAGTCTACTACTTCTGCAAAATCCAAATATTCACAATCTTTGATGTTGTGTGCCCGTAATCAATGAGACCTTTTAAAGTAAAAAAATACTCAGTCCTATTGTTGCAGATAGCTGTGTAGCTGAATGCTACATGATTACAAGGAAATCAAGTAGACCACAATAAATCAAAATAAAATAAAATAAAGCAAAATGAAACAAAAACAAAACCTGTCAAATTAAATCTACGTACTACTGTTTTTTAATGCAATACATACAGTATGCCATCATTGCACATGTGCCCCATCTACCCACTGTGTTTGTGCTGTAAAGATACGGTTTCTTCCTAAACATGTGATAATTCATTGAATGTTAAAAAATTGCTACTCTTTCTTCCAGATACTGTACCCTTTATTCATCTTCATAAGTTATACCAAGACAGAATATCAGGTCATTTGCTCTAAGACACTCATTCCACATGCCATGCTCTCCAACATCTATGCTGGTTGGTATTACTGGGCTTGCAGTTGCAGCCAGAGGACCATAGCTTGGAAAGGGTGGTCTAAGAATAAATGGAAGTGGGACGTTTTAAAGAAAGCAAATACTCGTTAGTTACACTGAAGGGTATTAAGCGCCCTCCACATTATCCTTCTGCAATTTAAGATTAACAACACTGAAGGGTATTAAGCGCCCTCCACATCATCCTTCGGCAATTTAAGATTAACATCGTCATATGTGTTCTTTTAAAAAGCAGAGGAAGACTAAGTTCATAACTGTAACACAATCATCACAAACACAAGGAAAGTGACGTTCGATGTAAGTACAATCTGAACAAACCATGTAATGCCATACTTTGTGTTGTTCTTTTGTTTTTGCTTTGGGGTTTTGTTTTGTTTGCCACTTAACTATGTCTGCTTCAGCTACGGGAACTATAAACCATCTTACCTCTACTATACTCAGCAGCCTTTTCTATTTTGGGTGTAGCTTTGCCAGAAAAGTCCTAAAGAGATGAAAATGGTGAAACAACCACTGTTACACTGCAAGCATGAAGTGGCACTGCATTAATAGTCTAGTTGTTTATACACAGAGTATCTGTAAAAACTTTTATCACTGTACAATGAATGTATTGTAAATCATAAACCTTCTGACAAGATGCCTACAGCACATGGAAAGAAAACCTAGCAATGTGCACCACTTAGATCTCTCTAGTCTAAACCGCCTTGTGTTTTTGCCCAAACACTATCTTAGGTGTGGCAGTGGCTTAGGCATTTGGCTGCAGAGCCAGAGGCTGGGAGTTCAGTTCCCCACTGTGCCTCCTTGAGAGGGGCTGGACACAATGATCCACATGGCCCCTTCCAGCTCTGCATTAAGATTAAGAATCTACAGCTCATCTCCTGTTGAGCCAACCTGAAAACATATTTCAACACCTTCAAAATACAATCAAGACAACTTAGATATAGTGAGTGCATGTAACTCTAACAGGCTGATGTTATCTAACTTTTAACCAGTACTGGGGGGTCTACAAAATGCCCTGGGGTCACATGAGGACCTTAGGCATCATGTTGCCCACCCTGTTGCATATCTCTCTGGAGTTTTTTGAAGGGTGGATGATAACAAAAAAATGACTGCCTTGACATGTTCTTTCTTTAAATCATTAACTTCATTTCAGAGCCAGCTGACTATACTAGCTGACTATAAAACAGACAGGTTATCAACACAGCTTGAACGCTGACATATATTTGCCTAGTACAAAAGAACAAGGTCTAAAAACATGAAACTTCATATGTAGTTATTTTTATAAGCTTTAAGAATAGCCCAATCATTCCCTAAATTTGTGGCTTCTAGCTGGGGCTGCTGTTTCGGTAGACAAATCGGCACTAGTAACACAACAGGAGCAGGCTACATGACAAACAGGAGTGGGTTGTCTTTGTGTTACTGCTCTAGTTGTGGGAAGAAGACATGACTTGTGTGCAACAGAGAAGTGTCATGTGGTCTCCCTTTCCATAATAGGACTATAACTGCAAAGCATAGATTGATTTCTCCCTGCCAGTCTCTTCTGTCTTAGAATAACTAAGAAATAGGGAATTGTTTTCACCCAGCAGATGGAGACTCCTAGGGCTGGTTATGCCAGGGATCCTCCCCTCCCAAAGCTACCCCATCAAAGTCCCTTTTTCGATACACAGAGAGGCAGAAAGCAATCATTTAACAACCCTCAGTCTTACTACCAGAACGCTCAATTAATAAAACTATCTGTTGCAAAGAATCGATCACAATTTAATTTGTGAGCATCTGAAAATATTCAAGCAATATCAGCAAAACCAAGAACTGTGTCTGGACATTTGAAAAGCCAGCTAGATTTGTTTTTACAGAGTAAGGGAATGTAGTGAAACAACAAGGTGAGCACATCTGCAGTTTAGTATATGTGGAGTAGATCTATTTAATAGGGACTTCTAGAGCGACAGCTGAAGGCCGGCATGAATTTTTAAGTTGTTGGGACTCATCTCAAGACTCAAAATCGCTGTACCTGAAACCAGTCTGTATATGGCTCCAAGGAGTGCCGAAGGTGAGAAATGCCTTCCTCCAATTGCGTTTGTGGGTCTTCCACATACTTTAATTTTGTTGCTGGACTGGTATAGAGCGAAAGCTGTAAACAGCAGCAAACACACAGTTACTTGTCAGTTGTTTTGCAAGAGAATGGAGAACTTGGGCAACTCTCCCCCATGTGAAGTTCTTCTACAATATGTGGGTGGTTAGACCTCATTGCGAAACACCTCAGAGTCAACAACCGTTTTCCCAGGAAGGTGACATTTTCTTCACTATGAATCTGCAGGCTGAAACTGTACAGATAATGTTCTAAATAGTAGATATTCAAAGAAAATAATTTATTAGAAAGAACAGACTCTTACCTCATCAACTTTCAGAACTTTCTTTCTGGAAGATTCACGGTCCGGAGCAGCAGCATACACTTGGACAGCAAGCAAGCTCAAGCTAGCAGGAGCAGCCAACAACTGCTTTACCTAAATATAATGACAGCATGCATGATTGCATGTGCTCAAATATATTTTATTACACAAGTATGTGATTATGTTGCATAGACCCAATATATTCACTACCACTGCTCTCCAACAACTGCTCTTTAGAAGTTTCTACAGCACTATCACCAATGAGCAATGTTTATGATGGCATGTCAATGGTGATGGTGTTGGAGAAACTATCAATTCTCTTTTGCTGATATGACTGTTGAATGGGTGCATCTTTGACGACTACCTGAGTTTTTAACACTCCACCTTGCATGACCGTGCTAGGAGTCCAGACTTGTAAGAAAGCCTAGCACTCAGCCTCTCTGACACACTCAAATGGCCTCACTATGTCAAGGTGTGCATCCAAGAAGAATCCAGTGCTTCAAAGGATTCAGATCCTTTTGAAGAACAATTTAATGAAGGCACAGTAATTTAGAAAGTCAAGTGTGAACCACTCTTAAAGCACTTGGAAGAAATAAATCACTAGGAATAAGTGGAACACCGACAGAACTACTTCAGACTAAAGAGCCTAGATCTATCAAAATCCTGAGAACAAATCCTAATATGCTTTGAAAATTGTCTTAAACCATTTTTAAGTATTGTTAACTGGGACATTTAATTGCTTTTTAATATTATAATAATGTATTGTACTTTTTAAAGCTTTTAATATTGTCTTATTTAATACTAGAAGCCTCCTTGGATTCTCCTCTTGGGGGAAATGGTGGAGTACAAATAATAAAAATTAATGAATGAATGAAAATGAACAAACAGCAAGCTGGGTTACTTGAAGATTTTCTTCCAACCTACAGATAGAAATAACAAAACAGATTCTTCTGCATTAGCACAGATAAAGACTGAATCTTTAGCTCATACATGAATTATTACTGTATAATCATTATGACATTATTATGAAACTGCTTTGCATTTATCCCAGAATGAACCAACAAGTGAATTATGTGGTTCTCAATTTTTGGTTTTACCTTTTTTATCTGAACACCTAGAGTGAAAATCAAAATTGCCCCAGTGAAGCTTTTCCACATGAGAAAAGTCATTTTCCACAAAGCCATTTCCAGGATAAGATGTTTGGAACAATTTCTGAGTGCTTTTTGAAGTGTGTTTCTGGTTATTGTCCTGCTGCAAGACCCATGACCTTTGGTGGAGACACAGCTTTCTGACACTGGCCACTACGTTGTGCCCCCAAATTCTTTGGTAATCATCAGATTTCATGATACCATTCACACAGTCAAGGCATCCAGAGCCAGAAGCAGCAAAGCGACCCCAAAACATCTTTGAACCTCCACCATGTTTGACTGTAGGGACTGTGTTCTTTTCTTTGAATGCCTCATTTCTTTTTCTGTAAACCGTGCCATGATGTCCTTGACCAAAAAGCTCTACTTTTGTCTCAGCTGTCCACAGTACGTTCTCCCAAAGGGATTGTGGATTTATCACCTAAGTTTTGGCATACTCCAGTCTTGCTTTTTTATGCCTTTTTGTCAGCGGTGGTGTCCTCCTGAGTCTCCTACCACAGCCTCCCTTTTCATTCAGATGGCATTGGATAGTGTGAGCTGACACTGTTGTACCCTGTGTCTGCAGATCAGTTTGAATTTGTTTGGAAGTTAATCTGGGTTTTGTATCCACCATTCAAACAACCCTTTATTATAATGTTTCAGTAATTTTGCTCTTCCGTCCACATCCAGGGAGGTTAGCTACAGTGCCATGAGCTGTAAACCGCTTGATGATATTGCGCACAGTGGACACAGTAACATTAAGATCTCTGAAGATGGACTTATAGCCTTGAGATTGTCAATGTTTTTCCACAATTTTTTCTCTCAAATCCACAAACAATTCTTTATACTACATTCTCTTCTCCATGCTCAGTGTCACACACAGCACAAAGTTTGAGACTACAAGAAGCAAGAAAACTAAAACAATACATGTTGTAAGATTACTATAAAAAACATCTCAACATCACAAACAGATGTGATTCCCAGCACCCAGTCTCGAGTGCCTAATGTTAAATAAATGTTCTAAATTATTGGACCTGGCAAAAGGAAAAACACTTTAGTTTTAGTAGACATAGCATGGCTTTTCATTCAGTGCTAGCAAAATCTAGTTTAAACTGTTTAAATCTGAAAGATGTGTCCACTATTGCATAATATTTTAAATGCATTAGTACTACTAGTGAGAGCCAGTGTGCTGTAGGTGACCAAAGTACTACAGTGAGACTTTGGAGACCTGAATTCAAATCCCCACTCAGCCATGGAAACTCAATGACAGGGGGAAATGGTAAATCACCCCTTAAATATCTCACGTATCTTGAAACCTTTCTAGTGTCACTATAAGTCAGAATCAACTTGATGGCATATAAGTGTTGGTATGCACCTATAACAGGGACATGGTGGTACTGCAGGTTAAACTGCAGAAGCCTCCGTGCTGCAAGGTCAGAAGACCAGCAGTCGTAAGATCAAATCCAAGTGACGGAATGAGCTCCTGTTGCTTGTCCCAGCTCGTGCCAACCTAGCAGTTTGAAAGCATGTAAAAATGCAAGTAGATCAATAGGTACCACCACAATGGGAAGGTAACGGCGTTCCGTGTCCAGTTGCACTGGCCACGGAAACTGTCTTTGGACAAACGCTGGCTCTACGGCTTGAAGACGGGGATGAACACTGCACCCTAGAGTCAGACATGACTGGACTAAATGTCAAGGGGAACCTTTAACTTTACCCATATACCTATAAAGCACTTTATGGTTTGGGAGATCATTACATGATGGAGTCTTTCTCCCTAAGAATGTTTGCATGGGCCACCCAGTCCAGCCAAGTTTTCTGTTTGCATGTGGCTACCCCTAGAGAGGAAAAAAAAATTGGGCCTCCTTGGTGGAGGCAACAACACTATTGAATGCATTACCTGCAAATATATGCCAGGCTCCCTCACTCCTGGCCTTCAGGAAATGGGTAAAAACTATACTGTTTGAAGAAGCCTTCAGATATATCTCACCCCGCAGACATTCTCATGGAACCATGAATTGGATATTAATTTTGATTGGCGGTCCAGGCTTCTTTTCCTTTTTTTGATATTCCAGGCTTTTAATGTTTTTCTGGATCTCATTATTCCTGTCCTTGTGAGTGGGGAAGGGTAGTTGTGTTTTTAATTGCTGTTAGCTGCCCAGAGGAGTGCTTAGGCACTAGATGGATGAGATATAAATGTTATTAATAAAATTAATAATAGACACACAGGTGCTTTTAAATGAAATGTGGATGTCCCCCTCTTTCCAGACAACACAACTTGCTCTTATTCTAGAGCCAAGAAGCTGCACATCAGCCTGACACAGACGTATAGAACATGCAGCAAGCGATTTTCAACATATGACTGTGTCCAATCACTTAATAAACCCCAATCATAGAAAAACTCAATACTGGCTGTCAAGCCATTTGGCATAAGAGATTTTAATCTAAATATCCATGCCATTTACTGTTGCAGATCTTTGGATAGTACTTTTTCACCGGTCTTTTTACTGATGTATAGAATGAAAAATTTGAAGCTATCTTCTTTGTGACCCATTTCCACAAAATGATTTACTAATGATGCATCCATCACTTTGTTTTCGGTTCATAATTGATCTTGCATCTTGATTTTGTGTGACCTTGTTTGCTCCCCAAATATATTTTTGGACAATCACAGATTATCAAACTAAACTGAGTGTTGAACACATTGAGAATGACCTAGATCTAAAGACAAAATCAGCCCCTGGGATAGTCAACTCAGATTCCTCAATAGAGTGATAACACACGTTATACTTCCTACATTTGAAATGTCCTGTTGGTAATGTACAGTACTTCCCTGGGTTCTAATGCTAGTTTGGATGTCAGTATGAATCAAAGTGTCCTTTAAATTCCTCATTCTTGTAAAACCAAATTTAGGTGCTTCCTTGCAATTTGGAGTATCCCTCAAGAGGTGCCAATTTCTAGGAACAATCCTCTTTAGCTGACTAATTTTGGGGGTGGGGATGTAGTCAAACGTACAGACCAATCTATCCTGGGTGATTTCTATTTTATCTTCCAGCAACATTTTCCTATGCACCACCCCTGCTCTATTTTTGGCACTTTCCACTATTTTTTTTCTGGATAGTCTCTCTTCTTGTGTGTGTGTATATATAAACTGAATTTGAAAATTATTAATAATCATTATTTTGGGGATAGATTATTATCGATCACATAAATTGTGAGAATTCCAAGAAACCATAACAACAATTAGAAATGAGAGGGGAAACCTTTTATCACTTCAGCAGGTCCAAAATGCAGCAGCCAGATTGCAGACTGGGGCTAGCTACACAGATCACATAACTCCCCTATGACAGCAGCTCTACTGACTACCGAAGAGTTTCTGGGCACAATTAAAAGGATTGGTTTTAAGCTATAAAGCCCTAAAAAGTCTGGGTCAAAGCTATCTCAAAGACTTGGTCTTCCATTATGAGCCAGCTCGGATCTTAAGATCATCAAGAGAGGCTTTTCTCTCAATCCCACCACCTTCACAGACACGCCTGACAGAGACACAGGAGAGAGCCTTCTCTTGTTGCTGCACCCAGACTTTGGAACTCCCGCCCACAGGAGGCCGGAATGGCCCCTTCTTTGCTGTCCTTCTGCAAGTAGGCAAAGACCTTTCTCTTCAGGCAAACTTCCCCTCAGTGATTGACTACATGAGTGTGACTTTTAGACTGATTGTTATGCATTACTGTTCTGACTGGATCTTTAGTACTACAGTGGTGCCTCGCATAGCGAGGTTAATCCGTTCCGGATTAACCTTTGCTATGCTGAAGCATCGTTGAACGGGGCAGGGATTTCCATTGGAACGCATTAAACATGGTTTAATGCGTTCCAAATGGGCCAAATACTCACCGTTCAGCGAAGCTTCTTAATGGCCGGCAGCCATTTTCGCGCCCTCGCCTCGCTTAACGAGGGCGCGAAAACGCTGCGCGCGGCCATTTTGGGCCATTTCCG